GTGTAATGTTACTATATATGTATATTTAATAAGCCATTTGTTATTTCAATGACATTGCAAGTTTCTACCGCACAATGGAATGTTAATTTTTAATGCAATAGACGCCACAAGAGTCTGTTAATTGGAACGACGAAACGTGACTCGCGGATGACGTCGTTTGTTTGCGAGATGGGCGGAACGGTTACCTCGCATTTAACGTGGAAAGGCAGCCAATTAGCCGTCTACATCGCGTCGAAGAAAACGCGACTCTTAGGTAAACGCAAATAAGCAACTCGAGAAATTCCTGAACCCTACTACTGAGACGGACGATCTTGGAACGACAGAGAGAGGAGTGATAGAGGAACAAGGACAGATAAAATGGAGCAAAACCAGAGAGGAAAACTGTAGGGAAGGACGGGAACTGTCTGGAACGGATGTAAAAGAGAAAACATAGTCGCGTTTACATTTAATTAATTAGTCGGTCAACGTCGACGTCCACCATGGATATGGAGAAACGAGCGAATGCTACCGCAAGCGAGACGCGTTTAAATGCGTTTCTTTCATCTTTCTTCGTAAAGTTGACGGTCACCGACGTCAACTGCGTAACGTTGCTGCGAGCGAGGATTTATCTCGTTTGAGTAATGAAGGTACGCCGAAAGTGAAAGTCAGATTGCAAATGAGAAAGATATAGGCGTAATTAATGTAGCAATCGTGATATTGAACGTGTTCTCGTTATTTTCTTCGTTCCTTTTAAACACAAGATCAGGATGTTTAATAAATTGATACTTTTTTAAATACAAACATGTGTTTCTTACCGAAATGCATTACGCACGAGTGAAGTTTTATATTTTATACGTAATTAGTTGGAAGTGATTATTTTATTAAATTATTTAAAAACTCACTTTTTCGAATATATCGCAAGGGAAATTCCGGCGCGAAGATAATTGTAACAATTAGAACCACAAGTGTGTCTCTTAGATGGCAAACTCAGCCATTGCTTGCTTCGTTGTAGAAGATAGTATTAGAATTTCTAGTCACATCCTCCGAAAACGACTTCCTCGTGTGCCTTCAAGCAGTTTCCAAGCGGCCGTTAATGCGTAACGCAGTCATTAAGCAAGATTCGTTCCTCGAGGTTGGCGCTCCTTCCACCGTTTCGCAGCTTCAAATGCGTCGTAAAATCATTCTTGATCAGGAAAGCAACCTTTCCGCATCGTCTAACAATTGGCGTCTAACAGTCTTGATTAATCCGTCGAAATGGGATAACTTTGGTGCAAATTTTGATAATAACTAGCACGCATCAAAATCGGGATATAAAAAGATTTAAAAACATTTTAAAGACGTTTAAGATGTGTCCTAATTTTGAACATGCTGACTATAGATATATATTTTTTAAATTTGAGTCAAAATTATTCTGACTGTACCAAAGTTACTCCATTTTATGGTTCTTGTCTCAAAAAAAGAACTATTAAAATCTCAACTGTATAAATGTGAATCTTTTTCACACAACAGTATACTATATTTTAGAAATATCTGAATGTGAGGGATGCGCACTAATCAGGTAATTCTGATAAAGGATTTATTCTACGAGAAGTCGATTTTATGTGAGGAAGACGTCTCATGAGGAACACATCTTTCTCATTGAACGAACTTTGCCATTACACTTTCAACGAAAATGCCCACGCGCGGCCGGATACAGCACGGATGTGCAATTAGTATAATGAATTCGCCTACAGAATACCCACGGATCCATCGAACGTATCATTAATAAACGCCTCCGTTTTTCTTCGCGAAGTTCGACGTCGAAGTAACAAATATGGACGCTTTTTTCCTTTAAATCACTTGAGAAGAGCGGGACTCCGTCTCTTGAATAGTCCACCAACCCTCTTCCGAATTTACCCTCCCACCCATCTCCGATTCTAAGAGTAATTAGAGGGAACTTTATCGTCGGCAGCCCCACCTTGGAATTTAGTTCGCTGTCTCATTTGGGCGCGCGGTAAAATTACTCGTCCCCGTGGAAAACGCAAACTTTTAATTTATTTAAAACCCCCGATAGCAAAGAGAGAAGGAGAGACGAAAAGAATCTTTCCCTGCGCGGGGGAGCGAGTTTAGGTTCGGTATATCCTTTAATGAATTCTTATTGGATCCCGAAATTACTGAGGTTGCGAATGGACCCTGTCGACGCGCAAACATATTCGCTCCCCTCTTTCCATTCGCCGTCGAGGGAGCAACGGAGCTGAAAGCCGCAGGGGCATCGGGAGAGGCCGTGAAAAACGTTCTCCTTAGCTTAAAAAAAGAAACCGAAGTCGAAGGGGCGTACGTATCAGAAGTTACGTTTATCAGGTGAAACGCGCGGCAGTTTTCACCCACGGCTTTTACCTTCCCCTCCTATTAGCCTCCTTCACTCCCCACCTTTGCAACTCATCCGTCTCCTGATTTTATACTTTCCTCTCCCTGTGGCTCATCTCCCATCTCTCCCCCCTGTACACCCACGATCGCTTCACGGGCATCGATCGCTAGCCAACGCGGTCCTGAAATCCCTGCGAAGAAGAACGTCTCGGGTTTCCGTGCGGATTAACTTTCGGAAACGGAAGCCCGTCTTGGAAGATTACGATCGCGTGAGCTAGATGTTAAACTTTCGTATGAGAGCACGGTCGATACCGCGCGCCGATTAAAATGCATCGAGACCTCGTTCATAATAAGATGCGCCATTTTGCATTCTGAAATTCGTTCGCAATTATACACGAGATATACAATTCAAATTTGAACTGTACAAAAACAACGATTTTGCTGTATACAGATTTGAAAATAATTCTGTTGTACCATCAAGATTTAATAAGCAAAAGAATTTTGCTCATTAAAAGGTTTTAAATAATTTTGATATTTTAGTAATATCTTTCCAAAATTATTTTCAGATCTGTATCCAACAAAATTTTAGGCCTTTCCGCAAAAACGTTCTTTCCGTATAATTTTCTATTCTTTATCATATTAATCGTCGTCTATAATATTAAAGAACAGTCAGAAGTTGATCACTGTTATTATTTAATTAAATTATCTTATCGCTTTTAAGTATTTATGATCTGTCATAGAAATTTCTACGGACAATAACATTCAAAGATTCAGCATCAGTTATTCTTAACGCGATCTTTTAAGAAATTTCACGAAGACAGATATCCACACTTTTTCAAAAACACCTTTTAAAAAACGGCGATTCGATTCTGTCAAATAATTACACATCGACGTTTTCTTTTAGTTAGATGAAGGCAATTCAATTTCCATAATCCCCTCCCTCTCTCCACCTCTCCCCCCCCCCCCCCC